TGAGACTCAAGCTCATATCGAGGTACCATAAAAATATATTTACAATCCATCCAGAATCCATAGCAGTGCCGCTCAACTATGCGTTGCCTTGACACTATAAATCAATAAGATTTAACTTCTAATTAATTCATTCTTTAATTCCATAGTAGGTAGGACTTAGCGTTTTTTGAGCTAATCCCCCTAGTATGTCACCGTCCCATACCGGTGCATACAATCCATCCATTTAGCAGTTGATAATACATACCATGCATGTAAATATCAACTAAATTCATACATCCAACAATTGAGAATAAAAACATTAAATTTAAACATCAATTGTTCCATAATAAGCATACCTAAAGTTATGTATTTTAATATGCTGATTTAAACAACACAACCAAAAATCCAACAATTAACCATACAACAGTATATGTAAATATCAATTTATTCCCAAGATCCGTATAATTGAGAGGACATAAATAAATGTCTGCACACAATTATAAATACATCCATTGATTTCATATACCCATGATATAAAACATGGTTACAATCTTTGCATATTATTTAGCAATAATAATCTAAATAGCATGCATATAATTTATTTTATACAAATTATCAGGCATCTCCAATTGATTATATAACATCCCCAACATAATTAAACTATTTCAATTCAGTTGATTGATTTAAAACAGTTTGAATCCATAAATTAACCATTACGTTAATTTTATTCCAAACCTAGCATATCATTTATATTATGCATTCCATTTAATCATCGAGTCCCGGAAGTTCACTAAAAATTAACCATTATGTTAATTTTATCCTAAACCTAGCATATTATTTCATATTATGCATTCCAGTTAAATATCAGGTCCCAGAAATTCACTAAAAATTATTTAACCAGTCCCAACCATCCCTAAATACCAACTCCTATGCCAAAATCCAACACTAGACAACCCATATGAGAGTTACAGGAACCAGTTGATGTAAAATCCCAAGTGTTGACTGGTACACCTAAACCGGTTGATGTAAAATCCTAGGTGTTGACTGGTTCGCCTAAACTGGTTGATGTAAAATCTTAGGTGTTGACTGGTTTGCAAAAGTCCACTAAATCCATAAGGTGTCAACTGTTTTATCATAGATGTCGACTGGTATAATAACCATTTGATGTTTTTAACAAGGTGTTAACTGGTTGCAACCAACCAATCAACCGAAATACCAAGGTGTCGACCGGTTCATGCCAACCGGTCGATGTGTGCACTAAACCGGTCGACCAAACTGTGACAGTTCGTCTTCCACGGCTCCGGCGACTACGTCTTTTTCCGTTAAAGTACTAAGGCTATTGTTTTAAGTCCAGAACAACCCTAAACATTATGTAAACCTTTTATGCATAATTTAAACAAATTATAATCAAGAATCATACAAGAAATTCGAAGTTAAATAGACGTATACATATATACATAATCTACTGTAATTCAAGTTTTAGCATGCCTACATAGTTAAATTCTAACCAGATTAATTTAACATTTATTTACTCCTGGAATTGTGATAGAGATGCAAAGAACACAAGTCAAAGGGAGAGAGTTAGGAACAGAACTTGCCTTACATCGACGTTCGTCTAAGTTTTCCGGCGAAACTCTCTCTGTTGGCTCACTGTTTTCCTTCCCAGCCGTCTCTAATTCCCTCAGCCCTTACTATATCGTAATAGTTTTTTTTCTAAAACCCTAGTCAGAATACTACCTGAATATTTATAGGCCACTAACCCTAGGTTCAATTAAACCCTAAACATAATCCACTCGGCCCATAGAAAACTAGGTTATAAACTATGTCGGCTATGAACTGTGTACTATATGTATGCAACTAACCCTACAGTCACGTTGCGGCAAAACAAATAATGAGATTGAATAAAATAAAACAATTTAATAATTAACAATTAACTTAAATAATTAATTCAAATAAAACAAATAATCAAATAATTTCAAACAAATAGTCAAATAAGGAAATTAAAAACAATTTATGCAAATAAGTCAAATTTCAAGCAAACAATCAATTAAATAAATCAAATAATCAAATAATAAATAAAAAAAATCTAATTTAAACAACAAATTAAATACCAGGACTATCCTTTTGAAATTAGGAGTATTACACCATGGTTGCATCGGGTGTGAGAATTCCAGTTTTATTCTTTCATATGGTCTCTTTAATCATGTATGAAGTGTGGCCATGGGCTAAACTGTTTGCGCCCTAAAATAATATTTTATTTTTTATTGGGCCACATGTCTATTTGCACTATATGTTAATATTCAATTTATGGCTATGTGACAGAAACTAAGAAGGCTCATAGTGCAATAAGAATTATGGTCGTAGTCTAGTAAATAACGATTGATTATGTGGACAATAATTTATTAGCATTTGTAAGACTTATCTTTGAAACACATGGTATAAGCTGATTGGAGAGATATAATTTATTTATTATATATTTTTCAAAAAAAGGAGTTGTAGTTGAGTTTTTCCCACGTAGAGACAAAACTTTAAATAAGTTTCAGACAAGTTTGAATTCAAATAAAGAGTTTGAATTCAAAAGGGGTGCAATTGTTTTCAACCGCTGATGGAATCTTCTATAAATAACGCTGGATGGCTCTGTACGAAAAGTCCCCAACCACACAATGCATTTTCCATTCCTACAATTTACTTAAGTATTTTCATTGTATTACACTTCTTTTGCTTAGGATTTTTCATTTTCTGCAATTTCATACAGTCTTTTACTTGTACTTTACTTCTATTCATAGGAGTAGCCTAGTATTAGATTTACACTTCTTGTACTCTATATGAGAATTTTACTTATAAAATAAAAGTTGACGCTTGGGTTCAGTCCCCTCTACTTTTATTTTTTAAGTCTCTTAGAATAAATGAATGCTCGTGTAATTTGTTTTACTCTCTTCATCAATTCTACATATAGTGCTAAAAGTCCTTTTTATTGAGGCGTTGAAGAACCTGAAGGAAGGGGTCATCCTTGCCTTCCAGCAGTCGCCTGATTCACAAAAGGGCCGATTATGAATTCGGTCAGCACCAAGGATAGTTTAGTTATCCAACTCCTTGGGTCAAAAGACTCTGGCACGCCCCTAAAAAAAAGAGCCAAACACAAACGGTAATTTGATACCATTTCATATTTTCGGATTTCAAAATTTCATTTCCAAGTTCATTTTTTTGCATATTTGGTCGTCAGGGGGTCGGATTTTGAGTCGGGGCTTCGCGGGAGCCGCGGACCATTTCTGCGCACTTAAAATCATTTTTTACACTTTCGTGCACATTCGTTTCAACCTAGAAATGCATTTAGGGTAAATGTATACTTAGTGCAAAGTTACATTTTTTGAGTTTTTAAGCCTTTACTGATTTAGGAGCATTTTGGCCATTTCACAGTTTCTTTTCATTTCTCTCGCATAGCCGGGTAGAAAATTTGATTTCGGGAGGGGTTTCTTCTTCGTATTTTTCTAGAAAAATTCGTTTGATAGTCCCTTTTTTCTCTCAGATGTGGATAGATCATGTAGCAGCTCTTTTGCCCTCTTAACCTCTTCTGATCTAGGGGCATTTTTGGGATTTTGCAGTTTTTTTTTTTTTCGCCCAATCGGGTAGAAAACTCGATTTTAGGGGAGGTTTCTTCTTCGTATTTTTCCAGAAAAATTCGTTTCGGCTCTCAGTTCTGGCTGAATCTATTTTTTTCCCTAGCATGTCAAGGTGCTTGTCAGGATGCTCGTAGGGTGCTCGTGGTGCCTCGTCTCGACGTCGTGACGTTGATTTTTGTTTTCGCTCGTTCTCGTTCGTCCGGACTCCAAATCAAATAAACTTTTTTTTTAACTTGACTAATTTTTCGTTGTCTTTCCAACAATGTGCTCTGTTGCACCCAGATCTTCCTAAATAATTACCAGTTTACCCTTTTTGCCTTAAGTGCTCGTTTTTCTTCGTCATACCGTTTCTCCTTCATCCGGATTCCGAATCATGCGATTCTTGAGTCCATCTTGATTAGTTTTTCGTTGTCTTTCCAGCGGTGTGCTTGGTGGCACTCGAATCCATAGTTTCAAAAATAACTATTTTGCCCTTGGGGCTATTTTTGTCTGGTTTTTCTTACTTTCCGCTTCCGCTACTTTCTTTTGAGTTCCGTGACTTCCCACGGATGTGTTTCGGGAATGATATACATTCTAGGGACGTCATTTCTATGTAAAATGACTATTTTGCCCCTGGGGGTTTAATTGTTATTTTTCCGATCTTTTGCTTTCGTGTCAGTTCTCATTGAGTTACACGACCTCATGGAAGGTCATCAAAGTGTCCTAGAGGTGTGTCGTGCCTTGGGAGACCGTTGTTTTGTTTTTTGCTTCCACATTCTAGATTCGTTATTGAATCTACGTTCGGTTCATCACAGGACGCACTGGCCTAAAAATCAGGACCGTCACAATGACCGCCCAAACCGACCCAATTTTCCCCACCCACCCATTGAAAACTGACATTTGCACAAAAGTCTCCCCACATGGAAAAATACTAACAGAAATGCTCAAATTATAAGACAAAGTGAACACAAAATGTCACACAACCTTACTTGGAGAGGATCTGTTCTATAGGCTTTGTACCTCTGGTTCTTGAGCTTTAAGGAGAGACAAACTAAATCCGGTGGACCATTCAAAATTAATTAAAACTTGTGTCCTTCGCCACCAAACCAAGGTCGGAGTGACTAACATATATCATCTAAATGAAGACATTTGCTTCAATCGTTTGCTATTTTTGCCAGTCAATAAAGGGAATTAAGAAAAGAGAAATATTTCTATGTAACATTTCATTTTTCGATGGTAAATGAAGGATTATAACAATTCATTAGGATGAACAGAAAGCAGTGTATATAAGCTGTAAGCATACCTCGAACAATGCAACCAAAGGTGACGTATCATTGATAAAGTCGACTCAAAGAAAATGCATAATGCATTCCAGTTTAGTGAGCATATTTTTTATGAGTAGATAAGACAGATTTCATTGGATGGTGTAATTTCATTGGTTGGGCATACGTAATTTCATGCCCAAGGGTGCTGCTTGTTAAAACTGTAAAAACTTAAAAGTATTCCTGCAAGTCTGAAATGGTCAACAGTAAATTTGTAAAAACAAATGAGAACTTACAATTCTCTGAAAAACAATGACTTTCTTTCAAATAAACTTCTTTCTATTGATTTCTGTAAACCATGAAATATGTAACACCAAAAAAACAACAATGATTTTTATCTCACCAACATAAAAAAAAATTAAAAAATTAAAACTAAATTAAATTTCTCTTGTTTGATTGAGATTTTCTTTCCCCAGCCCAAAAAAAAAAAACCACCTATCAGTTTCAAACATATGAATTTCAATCCTAGAACTCAAACCTGAAACTAATTTATCATCTCTTTAGTATCTAGCTATCACCCATCATACCACAGGCGATTCTCGCACCAATATATACAACTCAACCCCACCAACACCTCAGCAATGGCTGCTTCAGTCTTCTCCTTATCCGAAAAATGTAGAGTCTGCAGCAACAACACGGACGGACTCGTATTAAAACTCATCTTCCCAAAGCTCCTCTCCATTTGCCACTTCAAGGTATCATGTGCCATGGGCGCAAGCCACCCCATTATCTCGGCCAGCGCCCCCCTCCACCCCTCGGCCAGGAAGTCATCGTCCGCATTCCTCACATTCCTGCTCAGCTTCGACCGAACCAGGGTTTTCAAGCTCTCAGGCAATGACATATACAAATCCTCCCGCGCATCATCATCTATTGTCATTGCAGTGTCCAAGTACTTCTCCGCCAGAATAATCACGTTGGCATAACGTGTGGCGAGGCCAGAACCTCCCACAGTGGAGGTCCCCGCCGCATGAAACACCCTGTTATTGTTTGCACCAAAAGATGACCCTTCTGGCGAAAAACAAATCGATTTTCGGCTATAAAACCTCACAAAATTCGGTCTGGAGGTTGTTGGCATCGGTCCTGACCGACTTATTTGTTTGATGAGGCAAGACTCAGGCTGAATTTTGCTAATCTCTCTGGGATGGGAAGACATTATTGTACTTAATGAAACGCGAGGGAGAATCGGAATATAGGGGCCGAAGAGGCTGCAAATTCGGCTGTAGACGATGAAGAGGATTGGAGCCATTAGGCCAACACTCTTGTCAAAACTCTGGTTCCACAGGGAAGTTTCTCTGAAATTATGGACTTGTCTTCTTTGGAAAGAGATCTTCTGATTGAAAAGATCAAAATTCGTCTTTTGGGACTGCATTACGTGACTGCTCTTCTTCCATTGACTCAACTTTCGTTCTGTTATCTCCAATTCGGTGAGAGCCTCCAATGCTGAATACAGATTAGACGTGGCCAATATCAAATTCTCCATCTTTTGGATCTTTTTCTCAGCTTTTTTCGACGCATATTCTAGTTTTCCAACATCCAAGACACCCAATTTGAGATCGGTGTATAGAACGTCGAAGCGATTTAGAGACAAATTAGAGCATTTTTGGCCCAATCGAGCCAAAAAGGTTGCAGCTTTATCTAGATCCTCGAGTCTCTCTGCGCACGTCAGGTTCAAAAGGAAGTCTTCATCATTGGAATTCAAATAAAGGACGCCTTCAGATTTCAAGATCACATTTCTCAGCTTGAGCATTTCGTGATCCGACAGAGATTTGTAGAGAGAGATTATTATTGACATTGTTTTCGCGGTCTCGAATGAGAGGATTCCGAGGGGGGCCTTGGTGGTTTTTTTGCCGCTGCGAAGGCCAATATCTGAGAGCCACCGCATGGTGGTGGTTTTCACCACCATGGATAACTATGGTGTTTTTGTGTAGTTAGGGTAAAAATTGAGAGAGAGAGAGTGCTGAATATATGGAGAATGATCGGAGATTGATGGGTCCAGTCTAGGAGGATTTTCCCTGTGAAGAACGCGTTTGGACAGATGGAAATGCAGAGAAAGAAGCGGAAAATTGACAGGCAGTGCAGCTGTGTGTGAATATGGGAAAATGCAGAGAGGATTGAGAGCATAATAGGATGGAAAGAAACAGATAATGAAGTCTATTATTGCGGTTTGACCGCCACGTCATGGAAAACTCGTTATGTCAGTTAAAAACTTTTAGTAAGTGAACGAGGTCAAGCTTCTTTCAATGCAACTTATGTTATGTCAGTTTTTGATTGGGAGGAAATCTTAACTCTTGCCGACCTACTTTTATCTGGCAAGCAATGTTGGCATTTTTAAAACTCTGTGTACCTGTACCCATCTGGTTATAGTTCCAACATTATTTTATGTTTAATATTTGTCCTTATTCAGAGTTTGAATGAGTCCATACTTTTTTATCTTTTTATTTTTTTTAAATAATATTTGTGTTGAATCTTTTAAAATGTCTCGTAATTCACTAATCACAAGTAATCTTGTAATTATGTAATCGTCTTCACATATACCAGTAAGGAAAAGCTTGCTGAAGTATTTTTAATTTTTATTTGATCTGTTTCTAAACATTTCTAATTATTAGTATAATTAAATTATGAAGAAATGTGACAAGTGTGTGAATGGCTAAACACCTATGATATTATTTTATTTTTAATAATTCTTTAATTCCAAAATGTTGTACACAACCCGTCAAACACTCTCTGTTTTCTAGTGCTAGTTTCTTATGGGTTATTATTATTAATTTTTTTTTTCAAAATGCAATTATAAAGCGTGTTAACTAAATTCTTAGTTTCTCACTCGGGCTTGTCGACATGGAGATCATAAGTAGCATTTTCACACTGCTAACATCTTCTTTTGACGATATGCTTTCGTCGCTTTTGGGACTTGAAGCAGAAGGGGACGCAAGACACACCATACAATTTTTCTTCCTCCGCGTTTGACAGTCCGCTACAAGCTGGACATATTTGGACTAAGTAATTCCAATAACTTTATTTTCTTTTTCTCGTGATGAAAACGATGATGACTCGTGACTTTGACCAATTCCAGTCGAATCCAATAAGAAGTAAAACCACTTCAGTGAACTACTCATGGAACCTTATCGGAAGTTGGTTCCTTTACTGTCCTATTTAATGTGGTGTACCAATATTTTTGCCACAATTTATATAATTTATATAATTTTTTACATCCCGTCTATAATTACTTACACACTTGTCCTTTCACAGTTGGTGTTCCAATTGATTAATTTTAAATGTATTAATTACTTGAATTTTTATTTTTATAAAACTCTACAAACATTATTATTTTAGACAAAAATAAATTTGTAAGGTAGACATATTTGCACTCCACTCTTCTCTAATTGCACTATATTTACGTTTTTATTTTACCCCTAAATTTATAATGTCACAACTATTCTTTATAAAACTTTAACTGTTTTTTAACTTTCTTTACTTTATTTATTATTTTTTTTTGCCTTTCTATTTGTTTTTTTGGAGAGGTCATCTCAAGGAAAATAATTTATTCCATACTAATAATTTAATTTTTGATAGTCAAAAGAAATAATTTATTCCATAATGATTTTTTATTTATTATTATTATTTTTTTTTTTTTGGTACAATTAAAAAAGATATTTATTCAACAAAGTTAACTTTTTTCCAGTCAAAAAGGTAACTGTTTTTTTATATAATTTTTTTTGGTCCTATCAAAAGAAAAATTTATTAAATAAAAATAACCCTTTTTTTTAGGGGGGTCTTATCAAAAGGGATAATTTATTCAATATAGATTAAAAAAATATTTAATTCTCTTCTTTTCATACTTTTTCTTTTTCTTTTGGGGATCTTGACAAAAATAATAATTTCTTCAGAGACCATAGTATTTGATTCGTCAAATACATCATTATTGTATACTCTTTTCATATATATGGCGCAACCCAATTTTTCTTTTTAACCTTTTTTTGAATCTAAATACCTAAGCAATAAGAAATAACCTAACTAATAAGAAATTCACCCCTTTTTTGTTTGTCTCATTTAAAAGTAAGGGTAACGTATAGCCACACCCCTTGAGGTTTGGCAAAATGACATTCAGAGTAAACTTACCTGTTTTTTTGGACAAAGACACCCCCTGAAGGTTCAAAAAAGGACAAAGACACCCCTTTACATGAAAAATTGACCAAATTACCCTTTAACCGTTTAGGAGACTTTTTTAACTTTACAAGTTGATAAATTGAATAAATCTATCATCATGAATAATTAATGCATAAAAAAAAAACTTTATATTGTTCACTTTTTTTTTTTTTTTTTGGTTATTTACTTTATAAATGTCCTAACTTCTTAAAAATGTAGACGTCTAAAATGATTTTTTGATTCAATACATATTATTTCAAATAATTATATTTTGTTATTACTTCCTTTCTTTTTCTTTTTTATTTTTAAATTAAGATGCTTAATTCTTTCATCTAAAAAAATTAAACTAATCTCTTTTCCTTGCATCTAAAATTATATATAAAATGTTATGCATTTCCCAACATAAAAGAAAATAGGTACCAGTATAATTTTATGCATGCCTTTGTTTTTTTTTTTTCCTTCTTTTTTTTTCCCTTTGTTTTATTATTATTTTTTTCCCTTTTATGTTGGGAAATGCATAATATTTGATATATAATTTAAGATGCATAAAGATATACTGGTACCACATTTTTTATTTTTAAGGAAAAAAGATTGGTTTAATTATTTTAAATGAAAGAATTAAGCATCTTAATTTAAAAATAAAAAAGAAAAAGAAAAGAAGTAATAACAAAATATAATTTATTTGAAATATATGTATTGAATCAAAAAATTATTTTAGATGTCTACATTTTTAAGAAGTTGGGATATTTATAAATAAATAAATAAATAAGTGAACAGTATAAAGTTTTTTTTTTTTTTTGGTCACTTTTTTTTTTATGCATAAATTGTTCATGAGGGTAGATTGGTCCAATTTATTAAATTGTAAAGTTAAAAAAGTCTCCTAAACGGTCAAAGGGTAATTTGGTCAATTTATCATGTAAAGGGGTGTCTTTGTTTATTTTTGAATCTTTAGGGGGTGTCTTTGTCCAAAAAATAGGTAAGTTTCATCTGAGTGTCCTTTTGTCAAACCTCCGGGGGTGTGGCTGTACTTTACCCTAAAAATAATTTAAATTCTTCATTTTGATCCAGTTATTGAGACAACTCAAACGGCGTTTCCTTGTTCTGGGGATCCTTTATCTTTGTTTTGAATTATTAGGTTTAGACATTACTTCGGCGATCCTTAATCCTTTGAAAACGAAACCATCATAGTATTTTTTAACTTCTCCGAAAAAAAGGATGGTAATTTGATCATTTACCGATCTAGATCTGATAGATACGATTTTTTTTTATCTTTTTTCGATTGAGGGTAAATGTCAATTCTATATTGTAAAGCCACATGCAATGCGCAAAAGATGCCCGTACGGTTGTTCAATTCTATCTTCTTTTTTTCTTGTTATTCTTTATCTTTCTTTCACAGTTCTTATTATTAAAAGCTTACCCAAGAGTTGTTCAACGAATCCGTTAGTTGGAATCACGGTATGGGTAGATGTCACAGATGATGAATCAAAAGTTTTCAATTGACTTCTTCTTTTAATTGGTCTAATGTTTCATACTAATGGATTCGGGTCCATAACCATGGGTTCCAATGCACTAGATCTTGTAGCACAATCATACTCAATTCGATGGAATTGTTTGATCTTAAAGGAGATCTTCTATAATTTTGCACATGAGGGGTTATTTCTTAGTTTCACCCAGTCATTAATAACTTGATTATTTTTAGATAATAGTAAATACAAACAACATGACAGAGCTAGAATTCTAACCTTGTGTCATGACCTACGGGCCAAGGGACAGTCTCAGGTAGACAGTTTCTATGGGGCGTAAGCCTCCCAAAAGGTAACGAAGGCATAACTATACTGATTCGGTAGACTCTAAAGACACCCTTGGTACAATATTGACGATCTCACAAAGATTCAATTTCAGTGAATTTCCATTTACTGATCTCATCTTTTATACATTGGAAAAATCCGTTTTGTTATTAATAGGCTAGGAAAAGGGAAAAGAATAACTGAAAGAAAGGAAATCAATTAGTTATTCGTCAAAGTTTCAATTATTCTTGAATGAGGTATTCAACTCCAGGGATGAATCGAAAAAAGAAATCTTTATTGGTTCTACCTCCTATTTTTTATGAAGAGAATGAATCTTTTTGGGGCCGAGCTTGAGGCTTCTCAGCCGCAGGAGCAAGGAACGAATCCCCAAAAAATTCCATGAGTTCGCAATTTCTACCACAAGAAAAAGCCATTTTTTTGCAACATTATTCAAAAAAGGCTAGGAGGCCTTAAACTCCGGATGAGTTTGAGAATCAAATTCAAGCCCCCTTTCTCCTCGGTCCACAGAGACAAAATATAGGACTGGTGCCAACAGTTCATCATGGAAGAAATGACTCACTAAGCCGGGATCACTAACTAATACTAATATAATACTAATATAATAGAAAAAAATCCAGTGTTTCACTAAGATTTCGAATAGCAGTCTCGAATTCAAGTTGATTATATTTCGCCTCTTCCTCAGAGAAAGACAATCAAACAATTCCCAATCATGGTCCTTCTATCTTTGTATTTCGAAAGGAAGGGGGATACGGAAGATAGGAAATTTCTTCCAACCTAATTCTTCCTAAATTTTCTATCTCAATAATTCAATAAATAGGTTCTTAGTTATAATCTACAGGCTACTCCGCTCATGAAGAAAAGGGTTATTTCTTCCGTGATGAACTGTTGGCACCAGTCCTACATTTTATCTCTGCGGACTAAGGAGAAAGGGGGCTCGGCAGGAAGAGGATTGTACCATGAGAGGATTCTAGAAGGGATTCTTCCTCTTATTTTTATTTCTCGAATCGAGAGATCCATGAATTGGGATCCTAATGCATATAGATACAAATGGTCCAATAGTTGGCCATGCTTGAAGTCGTTACCTTAACCGTAAGGAGGGGGATGCCGAAGGCAGGGCTAGTGAC